TTTTTGGTTTAGAACTAAAACTAAAACTGAACTTTACTAAAAAAGTAGAACTAAAAAAAGAACTAAAATGAAAGAACTACATGTGTGTCTACTACTATAATATATATACATGTGTATATGCAGTGCATGAGCAAACATGCATGCATCATTGAATTTGATACCATTTGCACCTGTGAGCTGTATATAGTCACAAGACAGATAATAGATAACAGATAATTTAATATTGGAAATAGAACTAAAATGAAACTAAAATAATTTTTAATTTTAGAACTAGAACTAAAACTAGAACTAAAAATATTTTAAATTTGGACCTAGAACTAAAACTAGAACTAAAAATGTTTTAAATTTGGACCTAGAACTAAAACTAGAACTGAAAATATTTTAAATTTGGACCTAGAACTAAAACTAGAACTGAAAATATTTTAAATTTGGACCTAGAACTAAAACTAGAACTGAAAATATTTTAAATTTGGACCTAGAACTAAAACTAGAACTAAAAATATTTTAAATTTGGACCTAGAACTAAAACTAGAACTAAAAATATTTTAAATTTGGACCTAGAACTAAAACTAGAACTGAAAATATTTTCAATTTAGAACTAGAACTTAAACTAGAACTAAAATGATTTTTACTTTTGGAACTAGAACTAAAACTAGAACTAAAATTATAATTTGTACTAAAACAACACTACAAATTACATATATCAAGTACTTGCAAATATTGTGAGTCTAAATAATGGAATAAAAGATTTGTTATTAAGTCAGCAAAATTGATTTTCATTACTCAGATCTCAGAGCTACATGTACATGTATATGCCTTTCATTAACACATACCTGAGGCTATTATTTTAGTGCCACAGTCCATTGAATCAAACCAGCACCAGTAGCTATCACCACTTATATCAGCTGACTTTTTACACAGTGTGCAATTGATGGAATGGTCTTCCTCTATGACACAGTAACAGTTCTTTTCCTTTTCATTAAGACAAGAGAATGCAGCGACATGATTTTGTTCAAGATTGATAGCTTTAGCACTGTCACTGACAGCCTTCATGACTAGTTCACGAATATAAGGACACTTCACTTTTGCTTCCTGAACTGACTCATCAAAATAAACCTCAATGTGTGAGTAGTGATTGATGATGTGAAGTGTGTAACGCTTTGTTTTAATAAAAATCCAGAACGAAAGTGCATCACGATACTTGTAGTATTGATGTGGATCCAATGGAGGGAAGTCTACCTTACAGGGGCACTTATTGTGAGTGAGGAGGTGAGTAATGACTAATGGAAACATTCCTTGTGGGACTGGAAGAGTATTGATACCATCATTATCCTGCCAGACAATAAGAAGAGGGTTAGTTTCTGTTTGAGGTACAAGTGGCTTTGTGTACGACTGCAAAGCACAAGGAAAGAAATAATCTCCATTTTCTCCACTGGCAATGATATGAAGATGAATAAGGAGCTTAAGTAAATGAGATGGCTCAAAATTAGGTGGGGAGAAAAGTGAAGTAAAGTGATTCATCAAAAGCTTCTCTTTAAAAAACCAACATTATGAAGCTTGCTTATATCTTTCTCAGAGGGCACAGGGTTAGCAATTAGGTGAAGTGCTTTCCTTTCAACATAGGTGAGAGCTAGCAGACGTGATAGAACCTCAAGAATAGGCTTAGGATCAACAAAAACTAATTGTGGCAAGATATCAGGATAATACAGGATAATGGTGACATTGTGGAGATACTGTAAAGCATGCTTAGTATCATCCTCACTCATTTTAAACCTGGCACCAGCAGATATGGCTTCATCTAATTCAAGAAAACTGTGGCTTTTCTTCTCTGCTACTTTTTGCAGCCAAAGCTCAAATGCAAACCAACGAATTGGGACATTTATTTTGAGAGAAGTGCCTCCACAATTTGCTATCGATTGACATAAATCCTGTCCTGCTTTCATTCTTCCTTCATCTTCAGGGACTAGCGTATTCACAGGAAATATGATAGACTCTCCACGAACATTAGGGACAATATTGCTCTCTATGTCATGCTTCAATGAAGATATCATAATCAACTCTTCATTCATCTCTTTAAGCATGTCTTCAGTTATGAGATCATAATGTGTACCAAGTACAAAATTCATTGGATGTGAAGGTGTTTCAAGGACATGAGGGACATCAATTGACTTCAAAATGGCTCCAGAAGAAACTGCCAATAGAAAGAAATCTCGATTTGAATACTTAAAGTTTAAGCCACAAGAAAATGTCTCCCCTCCAATCCTGTATTGAAAATCAAGCTTTTCATCCAGAGGTTTTGAGAGGTCAAGAGTGACGATATTGAGAGAAGCTGTTCTAACAAACAATGGTAACAGCTCCTGGTATGCTGGCTGACCTCCGGAATCAATAATGTACAACCAATGACCACTTAAATTTAGCTTCACCTCTGAGCGTTGGATTGTGTCCACAATTTCCTGAATCACACCTTCACCAATTGAAAAACTTTCATTTGAAGCTGAAGCAACAGTAGATTCATCTGTTTTGGTAGCAAAATTGTTTCTTTCTCTAGTACATTCATTATATTGCTCTGCAGTTTGCTGTGTGTCTGTTAAAAAAACTGGAATAAAATTTCCAGAAATATTTTTTTGAGGTTGAGAAGCAAAATTTTTTTCCATAGGCTGAGAAGGAGAAGCAGCAGCTTCCTTTAAATCAGAAGCCAGTCTTTCAAGTAAACCATCTCTATCAACTTTCTCCCATTTCATAACTTCATTGTCAACAGATACTCTTGTAGCTTTGACAGCTGGACGAGCAATTGGTGTACTGTCAGTGAGATGGGCAGAAGGTGGGTTATTTAGGAGAAGATCTTGTGCACAGGTTTTACCAGCTCCAGGAGGTCCATGCATGTTAACACGAGTAACAGTTAGCTCAACACTGCCTTCTTTTAACCATTTTTCTACAGTTCCTAGAAAAATACTTCATATTAAAGGGATACTGGTGCAGTTTACACAGTTTGCCATCTATTAAAGGCTAGTGTCTTTTTGACGGGCAAGTTTAACTGTGTAGCTATGTTTGCTGGAGTCCATATCTTTCTGAGCTCTTCTCTGGCCTTTAACTTAGCAGGACTTTCTCTCCATTCTTCTCCATGTCAATATGAATGCTCAAAGAAACTTTGCATTAGTTCTGCCATTTTTTATTGACAAAATATGATTTTTGGTCCCCAAAAATCACATATTTTTACAAAAAGTGTGCGGATATCCGTACAAGGCAACAGTATCCCTTTAAAACTTGCAATACTAATATTGTATGCATGTAATATAAACTACATGTAGCTAATAAATGGTAGACTAAAATGTAAGTGCTTTTATAACAACAATTAAACACATGAAATGAACGATTGTATCCTACTTCAGCCAAAAAACCACAGAAACAACATTGTGATAATTATGACTTACACATAATGTCTCAATGATAATTTAAAATTACAAATAAACATTAGTACATGTGTGTTATAAATTCAAAACAATACAGATATATCCTAAAATAATTATGCATAAACATACCTCGTTGCAAAGATTGCTTCTTTTCTCTTTTGTCCCCAAATTGTTTTACATGTGTATCATCTGCTCAAAAAATAGCAATAATGCTAAAGTTAATGTTTGCATACATTTAATTTGACTTTCACAAAAAACATGCAAATTTATACCAAAAATTACTTGAATTATGGTAATGCAAATATTGTAACAAGTATGTTGTACTATCACTTAATCCAAAATAACCCAATGCAAAATGATACAACTGATTATGTATGTACATGTACTTGTTGAAACATTGTCTATTATAAAAGCAAAAATTTGAGTGGTCTAATACTAATAACTTATTATTGCATTAAAAATAATATTAATTACTTCCACGATGAATGCTTTGTACGATAATCCTCTTGTTTAATTCTTCAGATGTTTCCTCTAAGAGATTACGTATGTCATCAAGTGAGTGCTCATCTGCTTCCCATCCCAAAGTAAACTGAATTGTTTCACAAATGAGAAAATGCTTGGGTTGATTCTGACTGAGGAAATCCTTCAATGAGCCACAAACTGTCTTCACTTCTTCTTCATATTCTGATATCAAAGGTTTTGCTTCAGTGATTTTAAATCGTTTTACAATTGTTTTTAATTTTGAGATATTATTGATACGGCAATTTTTTACTACAACATTCATAATGTCTTCAGTAATGTCTGCATTAGACAGCTCATCGCTCAATTCAGGGAAGGATAGTTGAAGGAATGACTTCATTTTTGCAGCTGATGGAATTGATTGAGATATCAATGGAATGAGCTCATCAATAAGAATAAGAAAACTTCCTCTGATCTCATCAA